CGATGCGCGCGCACAACCCCGCGTTCGTGCTGCGCAACTGGCTCACCGACGAGGTCGCCGCGCGCCTCGAGACGGCGCACGATACCGCGTTCCTCGAGCGCGTGCGAGCGCTGTGTGCGCGCCCGTATGAGGTGGCCGAGGCCGACGAGGAGCTGTGCCGCGTGGGCGTGCCGCTGCATGCGCACCTGCCGTCGTGCTCGTCGTAGCTACACAAAGTAGTCGCTGCGCCCCAGCGTAAAGTCGTGCACTTCCTGCACACGCTCGCCAAACCTGAGCTGGTCCTCGGCCCAGGTGTCCTGGTGCGTGCGCCGGAACTCGGCCGCGCACTGCCGCACCGTGTGGCTCACGGGCGCGGGGCTCTCGCTGTGCGGCGCGAGCGTGTCGAGCACGAGCGCCGGCATCCAGTCGGGCACGTCGTACGGGAACGCCGCGACGAGCGCTGCGGCGCCGAGCACACCCGCATGGACGCGCTCGAGCGCCGCGTCAAAGCCCGGCGCGCCGCGGCGCGGCAGCGGCGTCGCGGCGAGCGCGGCGAACGTGCGTGAGAGCGGCAGGATGTGCGCGCGCTGCGAGCAGCGCACGACGCCCGCAAGCGTCGTGGCGGCCATCTCGCGCACCTCGCGGTGCGCGTCGCGCAGGAGCGCCATGAGCACATCGAGCACGGCCTGCCGCGCCGCGGGCGCGAGCAGGAACAGGTGCTGGACGTACACAATCTGCAGGAGCGGCAGCGTGTCGAGGCGCGCGTGCCACGACGGCGAGTGGCGCAGCACGTCCAGAAGCGCGTCGAGCAGGACCGGCACCTGCGCGGCGCTCAGCGGGTACGAGACGAGCTGCACGAGCACGTCGTGCGCCGTGTCCGCGAGCTCCTCGTTGTCGCGCAGCTGGAACGCCGCGAGCAGGTCAGGCACGAGCGCGAGCACATGCGTCGCCATCGGCCCGACGCGGTGGTCGTCGAGGCTCAGGCACACCCACAGCGCGCCCGTCGACGCCGCGCGGTCGTACGCACTCGTCCCCTGCGCGGACGGCGTGCGCACCTCGCGCCACGCCCGCAGCTGCGCCTGCAGCCACGCACAGCGCGCCTCGAGCGCTGCGTCGTGCGCGAGGAGCGAGCCGCGGCCTGGCATCGCCGCGCGCAGCGCCCCCATGTCGCGGAACGCCGGCCGCGCGTGCGCGAGCTCCAGCTCGACGAGGCCCTCACACACCGCCTTGCGCACCTCCTGGTAGTCGTGCGCAAAGAGGCGCACGTACGTGTCGGCCAGCGCCGCGGTGCCCCACGCGGCCGCCTTGCTCTGCAGCGCGTGCACCGCGCTGGCGAGCAGCTGCTGCGCATGCGCCTGCTGCCCCGGACTGCGCGCCGGCTGCGCCTCCAGCACCGCATACGCCTGCGCCCACAGGTGCGCGAGCAGCCCATGCAGGCGCCGCGGATCGCGCCCGTGGAACATGTACTCGACGCACATTTGCCAGGCCGCCTGGCTGTCAAGTGTGCACTCGAGCATGGCGCGCGGCAGCACACGCAGGAGCCACGCCTGCAGCGACGTCTGCGCAGCGAGCGGCCAGTGCTTGCTGCCGCGCACGAGGCCGCCGACCATCTCGGCGGCCGCGCGGTGCTGGTGCCGGTCGCGCTGCGCCAGCAGCTGCTCGATCCGCGGCTCGACGAGCGGCAGCAGCGCGGCGCCGAGCATCTGGCTCAGCGACTTGAGCAGCGTCGTCGTGTCCGCCGCGAGGTAGTCGCGCTCCATCTCGAGGCTCAGGTGCCGCACGAGCGCGTCCCACCACGCGGGCGTCAGCACGTCGGCGCGCACGGCCGCGAGCGCCGCATCGCGCACGGCCCACTCGGTCGTGGGCACCGTGTAGTACGTGTCGGTGCGCGGCCACACGAGCCACCCCTCCGGGCCCTTGTCGTGCAGGTGCGCCTGCGCATCGAGCGGCAGGCGGTAGGCGGCCGCCCGCTCCGCCGGCGCGCCGGGCGGCTCCGTGTGCTTGTTCGGCGGGTGCGTGCGCTCGAAGAGCGTGTCGGTGCCCGAGCTCAGCGCCTGCAGCTTGACCAGGTACAGCACACGCACGAGCGCCGCTTGCGCGTACGTGCGCATCTCGGGGCTGTCCGACACGGCGAGGCGCGCGAGGTGCGTGGCCACCGCGGGGGCACCGGCTCGTCGCGGCGCAGGAGCGCGCCGAGCGCGCGCACGCCCAGCTGCGCATACGCCCAGTGCGTGTTGGGGTGCACGAGCGCGGCGAGCAGCTCGTCGCGCAGCGCTGCGTACGCGCCGCTCTC